CCCTCTCCTGCTTACGCAGTACCGCCAAAGCGAACTAAAATCTAATATCTGACATAGTCTATTCACAAATACATTATCCTCTGCTGAAATAACATGGCAGTCATGGTCATTGGGTTCACTGTGAGTAACTTCACCACCATTTATTCCCAGTAAACACAAAGCAGTTTTTGGTGTTATGCTGGGCTCGGCAGCTGTGGCCGTCGGACTGAAGGCTCCTCCGTCTCCGGAAGCCACAAGAATTTGCATGTTGTTCATGTGATTGATTGTTTCGCACCTGTACAAAATGACTTCATCCATTTTAATTGTTTTACTGTTATCTTTTTATATTGTTTATATATATATAACTTACTGATTGTTCTACTTTATTTAGGCTGTTCATTAATTTATGGGATTTCTCTTCATGTGGGCTTCGTCCCGCTCCCGCCTGCAGTGGGCTGGTTACCCACCCACTCCCCTGCACAGTGAAAGTTGCCAGATGTTGCAGATCTCTACCTCAGAATCCACCATGAACTACTACGATACACTCACTGAACCTTTTAGAGTGACCCTCACAGTCCCCTGACTTCATTGAAAATCTATGGGTACATCTTAACTATGCTGTGCATGCCAGACAGCTCAGAACTAGGAGTGTTCTGCAATGATGAATGGGTGAAAATTTCTAAAATACGAATTGAAGGACTCCTACCTGGCTACACAAAGTGTTTGCAAACTGTGATCTCTGCCAGAGTGGGTGTCACTTATTACTGACTTTTATAAATAGTTAGCCGCAGAGGTTGTGATTATTTATTGATTTATATTGCTTCAACTATCAACGAAATGTGGAATTTGGGCAGGGGTGCCTAGACCATAAGACCACACCATGTGTGCATCAGTAGAGCACCAGTAAGCAAAAATTTACTCCCAGCTCTGACAAATTTGTTGCGCCAGGCCTGATAGGGGTGTACAATCATGTCCATTGGTCACAGCTATGAAGCAACATGTGCCCTGTTGTGTGTGACATGAATCATTTTCTATATATGAGTTCTGGAATTGAGGTCATAGCCACTCACTAACGTTTTGCCCTCACATCAGTCTAACGGAGCAGAGAGCAAAACGAGAGAGCAGCCGGATGTGCTTGGATTCGGGAGTGTATTAAGAGGTGCCTTGTGCTTCGCGCTCCTCAGCTCTCCAAGAGGAGTTCCTTTGAGCTTAATTATTAATGTGTTGATATTACATCTCACATGAACTCTTAGGTTTTTTGGCGAAAGTCTTACTGTGGTAAGAGCACTCACTGTGAGATTATGCCTGCTGTTATAAGATAGTTTGTGTGCTGAGGGGGAAAATTAAATAAGTCAGAGTATTGACTTCTGCTCCAAGAGTGAAAGAGAGCACACAAGAAATTGTAGTGTGTGTGCTTTATTTTCACGTCGACAATGTGTTGCAGCTGATATGGACCTACATTCCTACCAGAATCAAGCTTGGAGGCTCCATTGTCTGTAACCTTCAATCTAGGGCAGTAATAGGAACAGTCATATGTGTCTCACCAGTAACCTACTTCTAGTTAAAGTAGTCCACATTAACTCTGCACCAATTATGCTATTTCAATTGGGTCTTCATGGAACGCTCCCGACGGGCTCTCTACTGCTTTACCATTCATTTTGTGGGTTTTGACAACATCACAGATCCTTATCTGTCCAACTGTTTTACATGGCACTGGACTACAGCTGTACATGCATGCATACTCCCTCTCATGCACTTGAATTATTTGTTCCATATAATTGTTTGGGGTCGACCGATATGACAATGTTGTGTCTGATACCAATACAGATCTGATAACCGAAAATATTGGCCGATATAATTTCCAGAGAATGTAGATTTTAATGTCACACTCCTGTACTGACATGACCGTCTCAGTCTCTTCACTTTCCTTAAACTTAAATAAACAGCAGAAACTCCTAGTTGTAAATAATATCAGTTTTTGTAGCACTGGGGCGGAGCTAACCAGAATGCTTTGCGCTTTTGTTTTCTGTCTGTCACCTCTTATTGTCTTTGTTTTTCATCAGTTCTATTCATAAAAATTGTTTTGTGTTGTATGGGGCTAAAACAGTTATTCATCATTATTAACACGTATTTTTGTTGTAGATTTTTCCTTTGTATTTTCTAAATGACATCCAACCTGGAGTGAGTTAACGATTTAAACTGACACCGGGCAGCAGTTCAGTTATAGTGTTGTACCTGTCTGAGCAGATAGTGGAAAAAAGAAAAATTCAGTTTTGTCTGAATGTTAAAAAAGAAATGAAGTCTGGGAGCATTTTCTTAAAATAAAGGATAGTCACATACAACATAAACAAGTGTGACTTAGCGTTCTGTGGAAGCACAACGTTACCTTCGCCTGACCAAGAAGAAAACATGCTGGTTGTGATTCTGAAGCAGCAGAACGGTCAATGAACAGTGGCTTTCCCTTCATGCAGGTGTTCTAATGAGCTACTGTTACTCAACAATCACTAAAGCTCATCATGTTAGGCCCAATCCTATTTCACCCCTTTCCCCTACCACTTAGCCCTTAGCCCTCTGTTTTGCACGTTCATGCCTAGGGGTAGGGTGTCCCGATTTTTGTTTCGATAGAGGGGTAGGGCGAAGTGTTAGGGCTACATGGCCCTCCAAATGGAGGTTTTTCAGAGACACATTAAGCTCCCTAGTGGCATAGTGGTCTATGGCTTTGCTCTGTTATCAGGAGATTGCAAGTTCAAATCCTGGCATTGCTGCGACCAAAGATGTGCAACTTATTCACTCTTGTTGTCTATGTTATCGAACAGATAACATTGCAGATCACCGATCTCGGTCAGGTTCTAGATTGCACACTTTAAAACTGCTCAAACACTCTACAACCCCACAGGAAGAGCTACACAGCTAACATAACATCACACAATGTGAGTGTGTGCTATTTCAGGATAGGTTTGTTACAGCATTGGATCAGACTCATTCTTTTTTCCATCTGATATCTGATCTTGGCCCATAACCAATACGTGGTATCGGATCACTGTCATCTCTTCTGAAACTAAAAAAAGTCTAAGGCAGAGACATCTCTCCAGATGAAGAATGAACAGTGACAGAACAGCAGGACCATATTTTATCCCCTCAGGACCTGCATATACTTAGGAGATGCAAGAAGTCCATTTGTTGTTAGGAGCCTCGCTAAAAATATATGTGATGGCTGCCAGTCCAGCATGATGAGTGAGGTGCTCTGCAAGGGCAAACAGTAGAAGTTACATGATAGAGGTAAACTCTGAGGAGTTATATGGTAGAGGCTACACCAGAAATACTGAACTATTTGACCTTTTCTACACCTTGATAGGGGCACATATTTTGCGCATAAAATACCACTGAGATTCCATTTGAAATCAATACAAAATGATCAAAATTGAATAATTTTGTCTGTTTACCTAAATGTTGTTGAGACTGGGGCTGTACGATATGGAGAAAAGAACACACTGTGGTTGGTTAGAGGTAGGGCTGGGCAATGTGATGATATTTTATCATTATCTTGATAAATTATGACACAGAATGCTTCTCTGAGCATATTGTGGATCTTGTCATTACTTAAACACTAACTACATTTTATTAGTGAGCATAAATAAGCCTGTTTAATTGGATTTAGTGCAGTGCAGTTTGTGAAACATTGAACACAAATCATTGTAGTTGTAGGTTTATTATTCTTATCATCATTTTAGTATTTTTATATGTGGCTTTACAGGTTCTGTTTTGTCTGTTCCAACTTGTTAAGTCTCAGAAAAGCTAAATATTGTGATGCATATCGCGAATCATGAAAAACGAGTATCGTGATATAATATTTTTGCCATACCACCCACCTTTATTTTGGAGGCATTGAATTATTGCAGCCTTTTGTATTGCAAGAGTTAAAATCTAGTAACTATTAAGATATTAATGATATAGAGGCCCCGAAAAGTATTTGGATGTTTGTCAAATGCTTAACAAAGTATTAAGTTCATTGTCCAAGGAAACAAAATGTCAAACCAAGTGGCATTTATTTTTAAACAGACTATTCCGAGACATTTCAAAAGGCCGTTTGTTTCAGATTGTTATCCTGTTGAAAGATCCACTGCTGTGATTTGAGCAGTTTCTTTGCAGACCTCTGCAGGTTTTCATGCAGATTGTCTTGGTACAGTTCTGAGTTCATGATCCCATGAACACGAGTTCACTGACACTATAAGAAAAACATATAAGCTAATAAAATAAACTGATAAGATTTGATGTTATCACCTATGTGCTTTACCATACTCTTAGTACTTTTAGAGTTCTTTTCCAGGCTTTTTCCACACAAAGAGTCTACTGTCAGTTTGCTTTTGTGAATTAGCAGTTCTACATTAACTCCAGCGTTTAAGACCATTTATTGTTAAACTGTGTTGAACGATCAGCAGAGCTTTATTTTACTGCAAAGGAGGATTATTTTATTTTTACCTAAAAGTCTGATTCTACTGTGGAGCCACAACAGGGCAGTAAAAGAGCTGCATGTTGCCGATCCCTGGTGTAGTATAAGAGTTCAATCAGTGAAATTTACATTAGACCTGGTGGTGTGGATTGATATGAATCAAATGCAGCAGCATTTGTGAAACCGCACTGTTTAGAAGAGCTTGGCTTAATGCATTTTTAAATTTGTGCTCTGCTGTAATTATGGCTCTGGTGGAAGGCTGTGTCACATATAGAAGAGAGTGGCTTCCCCTGGAGACACGGAAGCACAACATGCAATACAATGTGTTATGAAGCTGTAATCCCTCTTTTCATACCCCCTGGGTTTGTGTATATTTCCCCATCAGCCTCAGAGTTTTATTGCATTATAGTGTATTTCCAGCTCCCGAGCGGCTCCCCTCTGAAACTGTGCTGACAGTGTATGTTTTGCAGTACTCGTAGGCTGGAGTCTGGCTGTATGCAGAGCCACGGCGCTGAGTTCCAGGAGGCAAAGTGCACTCATGTCTGCGATGTTCTCTCTCTCGTTGGCACAGGTATAGTGTCTCTGATCTCCCTGGCAGTGCTGTCCTACGAGCGCTACTGCACCATGATGGGAGCCACACAGGCTGACGCCACCAACTACAGAAAGGTGATCATGGGCATCACTTTCTCCTGGATTTACTCCATGCTCTGGACTGTGCCTCCGCTGTTCGGCTGGAGCCGATACGGCCCAGAGGGGCCAGGCACCACCTGCAGCGTCAACTGGGCCGCCAAAACAGCCAACAATGTGTCTTACATCATCTGCCTCTTCTTCTTCTGCCTCATCCTCCCATTCATCGTGATTGTCTACAGCTATGGTAAGCTGCTACAAGCCATTAAGCAGGTAGGTGTTGACCTTTGTACTACATTTTTTTTACATTTGTCTTGTATTATGACATTCATGCTTTTTATCTATCAGAACGAGTCAAGAACAGTCAGACTTCATATGGCTGCACTGATATGGAATTCGTGGGCCGATACCACTATCCGATATTTTTCCTGTATATATCTGCCGATACTGAAGCTGTATGTCAAACCTAAACATCTGTTCAATGTTGATAATGTGTTTTAAAGCGATTATCTGCCAATATAATTCCGATTTCATTGTGAATCCCTCATAATTCATTATCACATGACCAGTTTTCAAATTCTCTTTATTCCTTAGAATCAAACAGACTGGTTTTGTTATTGTGCTTTCAAGACAGATATATGCAAATGATCTCTGTTGTGAATGGCTTCCCCTATCATTGTCCTTCATTTCAGTTTGGACTGAAACACTCCTTGCAACTTCAATGTCAGTGGGTGGGGCTAAACTGCTGTAGTCTGAATAGTAGAATATATGTAAATGCACTGGTTTTTGTGACATAACAACCATGATGAATTAATAATCTGTGAACTGTGGACTCGGCAGTGAATGGTTTTGAATATTTAACTGTAGTTACGTTATATCAAATGGTTGTATTTAAGTAACACAATCAAATACTGTTTCTATGATATGGGCCCTTTAAAACACTGTACAATGCATTAAGTAAAGGTGCAGTTTAATTTTAGATTGAGGGTCAAGGCCTACCGTAAGCTGTAGTCTTATTAATCAGTTACTTCGATTAAGGCCTTTGAGTAATTATTATGAATTATTCAGTAGCTACTACGAAACTAATACTTATGTAGTTGTTGAAGTGTGAACCCACAAACAAGTGCCTTTGGATTTAAGGAAGTAACTGTTATTACATGTCAACATCTTGAAGTTGGTCCATATTGCTTGAGACCAGATTTTTGGATTCTTGCCCCTTTATATGCTGTACAGCTGTAAATCCAATAAGATCTTGAAGGTAATGCTGCTTACCTATGAAAATGTGACAATGGTTGACTGTCCTTGCTGGTACATGACTTTGATTTATGCACTCCTCTTGCAAGCAGATAGACTAGCTAAATGGCATTTTTGATTGCTTTACCAGCAAATGTAAACTAATCTGTGTGCTGGCTAAGCAGTTTGAGCCTGGAGCTGTGATGATGGTGAGGAAGAGCAGGAAAAAGTCACAATCAGTGCATGATCATGAGAGATTTATCAGTGCATTGTGACATGGTGGTATCACAATGCAAAGCTGAGACAATGCATTGTGGAGAACATACGTCCTATTGATTATACCTTCAAATGCAATCACACTGTTTGAACACCAATGTATGCAAACAATCAGTACCATCTGACTGCTCACTCCAGCAGTCCTCCTGCCTCCTAGCTCTAGTGTTGTTGCTTAGTTGTGCACCAACCTAATTATAGTCATCATTTTTCTTCATTTAAATTTTGTCCAAAACATTGTGAGAATATCAAATTGTGGACCCGGTATTGTGAATCAAATTGAACTGTGGACAGAGTGTACTGTTACACTCCTAAAGCTGCAGTCACACCAGACTTTTGTGGTTCATACCAGAAAATGCAGATAACTGGGTGGTGGCAGTGGGATGACGTAGCAGTTAGCAAACTTGCTAACTCACCATACATAGTAAAAACACTAAAGTGAACATAATTACGTTAGATTATTATATACCCACCGCAGCACAGCGGTACATATTGATATGTAGTGAAAAAGTGTAGATAACTGGCTGGTGGCAGTGGGGTGACTAGTGTGCAACATTGCAGTTATCAAGCTGGCTGACACATCTAAAACAGTAGAACCTCAAAATTAAAGATAATAATACAGTTTCTTGACTGACTGTGTCTTTTTCACGTTTATATAATTTGGGGAAGAAATGGTGAAATGTTTGCGCTTAAGACTCTGTTTAAAATAGTGTTTCCTTCATTATGGAAGTTACATGCTATGCAGGACTGCCCATCAGAGGTCAACTCAGCCAAAGCAGTAGCGATGTTGAAGATGTGAATTCACATCCATCGAAGTTGAGCTTGATTTGAAGTTCTGCAGACAAAATTGATTTAGAAGTCTGTGTCATGGAATCGCTCATCACAGTGAAAGTAATTTTAATCACAAAAAATTTCTGGCAAACACTGGACCTTAAGTGTGACTGGACCTTGATGATCACAGTTGTTTGTCTGTGAATAAATAGTCTCACAAGCCAGACTTCAGAAATCACTCAGGAGCTGAAACACTCCTTATAACTTCAGTGTGAGAGGGCGGAGCTAAACTGATACAGGCTGAAAAGGTGTATATAAGTTTATGCATTCGTTTCTGTGGCATTAAAAAACTCTTATATTTAAAATAAGTGATGCAGTTTCCATATAATGAACCCTATCAGTGTTTCGCCTTAGGAGGTGCTGGACTTGATAATGATGATAATATTAATAATAATAATAATAATACATCTTTCATTTATATAGCAATTTTTTTTTACAAAATCTAGAAGTGCTCTAGACAGAAATATAAATAAAACTTTGAAAAGATGAAAACAGCATGTTCTAAATGATCATTCATAATAGGAGCTTGCATGACTTCAGTTTCAGGACCACGGCCCAGCAGTCAGCAAGGTCGCTGTAGGTTACAGATATACTGTTAGTGGTGAGTGTTGAAATATCAGACACTATGGTCTGTTATCCTGCAGGGGAGCTCTTGTTCTGCAATATCAAACGTGCAGAGCTGAACCAAACCCATCCTGTCTGCTGCATGTGCCGTCTCATGTGCCACTAGCACTGGGTTATTAAAATTGCTTGGGGGCCGACTGTCAATCATTATGTGATCTGACACGCCCACACAGTTCTGAGCAGGAAGCAGTGTGGATTTTTTGTAGCATTTATCCATTACAAAATTGTATTAATTGATATATATTTCTTGAATATAACACTGGTAAATGTTTTTGTGTGGCATATCTTTACTATTAAAACGAGGTTTTGAACATTTAAAACTATTTTGACAGGGACCTTATAGGTGGTCAGATTGCTGAATTGAATTGGCGAATCAAACTGCAGTCTGGTTAGTAGTAGGCGGTTCATCCATTCGTTTTGTCGCTACCATTTTACTGGTATGCAAATGTGTGCAAATAGTGCAAAAACACGCTGATTCCCTCGCCTCTCGTATAGTGAGCTGCAGGCTGAGGTAAGTTAGTCCAGTTTATTGTCAAAGGAGCAGATATCAGATTGTAATGAGTTAAAGAGTTAACAGGGAAAAGAGAATGGAAGGAAAAGCCAGTCTTTTGGGGTTAGCTGTTAGCCATTAGCATAGCATGGAGACTAGCTGGCTTTCTGTAAGCACCACCTATGGCACTCCTCACTCAGCCAGCTGCTTCAGTGTTCACTCAGTGTCTGACGGTCGTAGATGAAAGCTCGAGTGTAAGAGACGCACATGTGAGACAAAGGCCTAAATAAGTATGTGTGCCATGCGACCGTCCCCCGGGCCCCGATGATAGCCGCGAGAGTCGGCGTGAAGGTGGGGCCCAAATCCTGAACACCACTGAGGGACGCGAGTGACGGCGGGAAAAGGACGTCAACCGACAGAGAGGGGAGGTGCGATGACGACGGCCACGAAAGTCCAAACTCCACTGCCCAGGCCCCGCCTCCTGCTCCACGACGAGGACACTAGACTGCACTTCACGCTCGATCCAGGTTGACGAGCTGAGGAGTAGGGGCGGTCGGGGCGGCTGACGTCCTCCTTCCGCCGTCACCTGCGTCCCGTGATGGCGTTCAGGATGAGTGCATGGCAGAGTATGGTTATTATTTAATGTGAAGGGGAATTCAGAATGATGCGCCATTGTTAATCTACAAAAAAGGTTTACTTAAGCATCCGAAATGGTTTTATTTTTTTTTAAAAAAGTAAACACACTATACCATGATACACAAAACCTGGCAGTAATCTTGCCTTTACTGCACAGTACTAAAATCAAATCATTCTTAATACAGAAAAAAAGTTTCTGAATCAAACTGAAAACGAATGAATTGTGATTCACTGTCAGCTCAAAGATTCACACCCCTAGCTGTGAGTGATCCTAACCTCAGCTGAGCGAAGTGGCCTGGGTGGCCTGTGACACTTCAACAGATCAGTAGATACGTCAGAGCTAAGCCATTAAGAGCCTTTTTTATGGAAGGAAAGCTGGGTACATATAGATTTGAAGACACAAAGAGGGTGAGTAAGTGCACCATTCATAAGGCTTGTGACCCTAATGACCATAAACACAGTACCAGAATGAAGTGGCTAAAGAAGAAAAAGGTGAGAGGTGAACATTTTCACGTGGCCCATTCAGAATCCTGACCTCCGTCTGATTGAAAAGCTGTGAATGACTTCAAGCTATGGGTGATCTTCAAGCCCTGATTTTTTTTTCCATGTCCCAAATCACTGGAGCGTGCAAACTGTCGGCCTGTCCGCAGAACGTTTCCAACTCGGAGCTGCTCACGTCACATATATACATACTGAAATAATAATGCTTTCATCTTCATTTGAAATGCTTTGGATAACAGAATAAAAAGCTGTTGACAAACAAGATCTGCATAAACACGGCTCATTCAGAATTTGCAGAAAGGCCTCGTTTGAAGTTTTCGCAAAGGACAGCAATGTCATTAAACTCTTTTATCCACAGTTGATGAAAATAGCAGCAGTAAACATAGACCATTCAGTATGAGACACGTGGTACAGTCACGTGTGGAGGGCAGTTTTTGTTCCTGAAGGTAAGTGCTGGAAAAAGCAAACGCACTTCAGTATTGAGCCCCACTGGATCTCATTTTGGGCAGAAGGTCATCAATAGATGAACGCACAGTGAGAGCAGCATGTTGTAGCGAACACAAAGCAGCAGAACCAGATGAAGACTCATTTAAATGCTTCCTCGCGCCGTCATGAGCGTATTGATCTGCTATGTGTGCATGAATGTGTGCAGAACAATCGAGCGCACAGCAAGGCCACATACATG